CACTACCATCCTCCTCCCTCTCCACTGCCTCAACATCCACTGCGGTGCCTCCTGTACCACCACCACTGCGCCCAATCCTGACACACCAATAAAGATCGACCGTCAACGCCGGCGATGTGGACTCGATCCATACCTTCCACACCTTCACGTCACACATCGGTCTGGTCGGTCACTTACGAATTCATCGTACAGAGCCTTGCGAACCAGTGCCTGGATCACTAACCTACAATGGCCGCGGTCGCCTCCAATGTTCACACAGCCTTGCACCTCCACTCATCGCGTGGGCCTATTCGATCACATGCATATCCATGAGAGCGGAATTGACCATAGTCTCGCCGCACCTAGCATCTCCTGCATACCCATCATGCCCAGGTCAACTCACATCCCGCCGCCCAGCATGCCCACCACCGTCAGCTCCATCGCACCCAACACATCCAGCACACCCATGATGCCTAGCCCAACCCCCAACCAGTCGTCCAGCGTGTATACTATCTGCAGCTACGCCACTACCATCAGCTTTGAAACCGAAACTGGCACCGCCGATTTTTCCTGTCCGCACTGTCCCTGTATATTCAGCTCACATATCACCCTGGTCTATCACTAGAGAATCCATCGCACAGAGCCTGGCGAACCAGTGCCTTGAGCACTAACCTGCACTCCCTGCATCCGCCTCAACTGCCCTCACTGCACCCACGCATTCACTCACCGCATGGGCCTATTAGGCCACATGCGCGTTCAGGAAAACCTGCGGTAGACAAGTGCCGGGTCCGGCACACCACCGCACCTTCCCCCACTAACACCTGCATCACACAACATCATGATCTATCACAAGCATCCAACTGCCATCTCCCACACAGGTGGGAATTGTGCGTCTTGGCTCCGTCTCGATGCAGCTCCTTTGCTGCATGTGTGACTCGAGTCTGAGACTATCACGGTGCGTCAAGCACTGTGGCTTGGAAGGTTGCTGACGGACGCTCCAACTCAGTCCACGCAGTCTGTCCAGTTGTGCAAATGTTTGTGTGCATTGGCAGACTGGTGGGCTGAGAGCCAGGCTGAAGCGGCTCCTTCTTAAAGTGCCATTTGACACTCTAGGGCATGTGAGATGCACGCCGCTCAACCCCCGCTTTGTGAAATCCTATTACTTGTGTTTGGGTGGCGCCGCAGACAAGGCCACTAGACCATGTCAGCCACCGCGCCAATTCCCTGCACCCGTCTACTGATCAGCTCGGACAGTGGCTAGGGTCTGGGAGTGGGGAGGGAGAGTGAGGTCGACGACTCAGCGCACTCTCCTCACTATAAAGGATCTGATGCGCTTGAAGCTGTCACGGTACGCTAAAAATCGTGGCTTGGAAGGTTGACAAATGACGAGATATTTTGGATCTCGCAGTCGACCCGGTCTTGCGTGTTGTGTGGATTGGCAGACTGGTGGTCTAAGAGCCAGGCTGCAATGGCTCCTTCTCAGTGTGGCTCTTATGGCACTCCCACTACGGGGGTCCGAGCGGGGTATGACGGCGCACCTAGGTGCTGCTTCGATCGTGCCAGCCCCCTCATTGTTGTTGTTGATTTAAAAAATTGCTGGTCATTTGCTATGTGGACCAGGGAGCGTGGAGTGGAGCGCCAAGATGTGGACTCGACCTTACAATCCACCTGCACACTCCCCCGCCTCCGGTCTTATTGAGTCTGTTTTGGCACCGGGTCCAGGTGAGGAAGAATGGGAGAGTGCGATATATGCGGCGCAATTCTGCTATCTCTGTAAACTAATTCACGCGCATGTCACCGTCCCTCCTCCACCATGCTGTGGGGCACGCGGTGGACATCTTCGGCAACGACGGCCGAACTGTCAGTCTGTTAAGACTACCTGTATTGGATAACTATTTGCTGGAAATAACGCGTTACCCAAAATATAAGATTTTTCATACCACACCGCTCGGGCTTTTCTCAACTTTTTGGACAGCATCAAATATCAAAGGAGGAGAACGAACAACAAGCCAAAGAGTATTTCGAAGAATTTTGACTCCCGATGTTTCGTATTCTCCACTATAAACCTCTCCAGTTGGTCAGCATTTAATAGGAATTTCGAGCATCACTACAAATCGAAGAATAGTTGCTTCACATAAACTGCGTATGAAATTCCGGTTTACTACATAGACTGTGGAAAACACAGCAGCATTTCCGTTGGTATCGACAGTGATGCGCGTTGATCGAGACGGCGATGTTTCAGGAGTACTCTGTCTTGATTCAGGTAATCATAAACCTAACCACAGCACAGACAGAACGTCGCCTGGGAAACAACAAGTAATTCATTGAACCGATGTTAATCAGTACCTAGTCACTTGACATGCCATAGAGAAGAAGGCTTAATATTTGTACCAATAGAAACGAAGAGTCGAATCCCAAGAACCAGTCTGCTAGAAGGAGACACGATCGACGATATCGACGTACACTCGACTATTATTAATGTCTGTTATCGACCACCAAGTCGGGCGCTCTCCGAATTTGATGATCATCTAAACCATCAGACGCGGACAGTTCTTGAATGTTGTTGTACGCAGTTAAAATCGGTTGGCCTTCGGTCTTGGGGATACTTCATTTTGCTAATCTGAGTCTTCTTTGCCAAGAGAAACCGAAGCAAGCTCTTCTTATAAGCATTCAGCTCGTCTACATGAAGGCCGTATCCGCACATGTAGATTTCTTTGTTGTCACCGCCACTTTCGGCACCTACTAAAACCTAACATTTTACTTAGTTAATCTCACAGCACACGCATCGCATTTTTATCGTTGCTAGTGGAATACGTTAATTGCAGCTACCATGCATATGACCGATCGACTGTGGCGAGCAACAAAAAATCCGGAACGGGCTGAGAACCCCAGTTCGAACTTTTACGTTTCTTTTCTATTTTGTTTGACTCCTCTTTGTACGGATAAATAAATTCAGTAGGTGGGCTGAGTCATGAAATGTCAACCGAAATGCGCTTTCGTTTCGAAACGATTAATTAGGCAACTTTGTAAGACTTATTAAAATGCAACATAATTATATGATAATTCAATTACCTCAGGATGCCGACTTTCGTAAGAACTCATTTTCGGCTACATGCAGAGGCTGCACTCCGTAAAAATGACTACTTAAGTAGCATGCATTTTTATCATTGATTTTCGATGCCCTTAAAAATTCAACTATATTTCATTGAAAACGGATAAAAATATTCTTTATCTTGCTCATCTGGTAGAAAATTACGTCTTCTCCCTATTTTATACTCGAGATAAGGGTATAAATTGGCTTCGAAAAAGCTTCTAACTGTGAGATTTTTTAATACCGTGAAATGGCCGTTCATAAAATGTCCTGTCTTTGCATTTACCAACGTGACTTGTAAAGTTAGCAATATGGCTCAAATTCATTGCTAAATTTTATTAATTCCACATGGTTTCCTCTTAATACCGTAGAGAAATGTATCGTTTTCCGTACGCGGGAAATATATGGCCTATAATCTGGAAGTCCTGAATGCAAGTGTAACGCCAGGTAGTGTTCAAAATTATTCGGGAATTGGAAAAATTTTTGAAAACCGAATCATGCCCTATTTTCAAGAATAGAATTGGAAGAAAACGTAATTTTCTACCGATGGAGGAAGAAAATGAATATTTTTATGCATGTTTTCCATGAAAGATAATTGCATTTTTAAGGGCACCAAAAATCAATGAGAAAGATGCATGCAAATATGTAGCCATTTTTACAGTGTGGTTTTTGCATGCAGCCGGAAAGAAGTTCGTTCGAAATTCGACACCCTGAGGTAACTGGATTATTATAGTTGCAGGTTGACTAGTTTTACAACTTTACCTAATCATTCTTTTCGAAACGAAAACGCATTTCGGAATTTCGGTTGACATTTCATGAGTCAGCCCATCTACTGTATATGGACGGCCAGAATGGGCTCGGGAGCAATGATTGACAAAGTTAAGCAGTCGCCTGCGCGTGGAACTTACGACCGGGTAGCAAACTCAGAAGCAATAGAGCGGTTCTAATCTCACGTTCACGAGAATCCCATAGGGGCCAAATTCAGCAGTAGCCCTGGAGTCTCAGTTCTGCAGGCAGTCGCACTACATACACATACAGTACTGACCACGAAAGCCAAGTTTTAGTGTCAGTTGGCAGCCTCTAAAGCCACAACTTTTGGTATACCGTTATAATTTTAAAATGCGTAAAATTTATTATAATGAGGAATGCGCTGAAGTGCTGTAGTATGGATTGCCTAGTGTCGACCTCATCCTCTCTTCCCTCCCCTTCGAACCATTCGACCGTCTGAGCCTATCAGCTATCTGATAGTAAGATTGAACGCAGTGGCTGCTGGTGCTAGAACAGCCAGTCTGTGTGTATCATAC